TAGTTTTTAATATAGTCTGTCACAGACATAATCTATAAAACACTGCCAAAAACACAGTGACTACCTCTGTCCTCTGGAGGTTACAGAGGTTGCTCTCTACCGTCTTTATCTGCGCAGTAAATAGTGCTGCAGTTTTAGGACCAGGGGACATGAACAGATTAGGCAGAACATAAGAGAGGAGGCTCCTAAATGATTAGTATTCTGCCTGGTCTCTTGCTGGTGGTGGAGCTCGCAGTCGATTGGCTTCCATTAACCTGCCAGTCTGCTCTTCATTACTTCATTAGAGCCTGTGTGGAGGCTTGAGGAAGTCCCGTCACAGTCCAGGGACTGACTGTAGACTCACTGCAGCTCGCCACGGGCATCAGACTTACCTCGCCTCGCAGCTGCTACACACTGCATCATAGTCTGTGTGTGTAAATGTCTTTCACTGCACCCTGTTCTTTTTAGTCATTTTGAACTTTGTGTCAGTGTTGATGAGTAAATGATCGCAACGGATGCTGGGTGGAAGAATAGCAGTCCCAGCGTAGGATAAAAGGACCAACCTCAATGGTTTGTATGGCTGATTCACCATCACAGCACAATTTGATTTGTTCTTCCTGCCAGCATTTGTGACTCATTCCCATTGCAGCACCACAACTTTCTATCTGACAGGCTACAAATAAGTATGCATACATTTAGTCATGACCCACACTCAAACACTTGCACATATACACAAATCATCTTTTAAGAGTGTTAAGGAGTGCTAAGGGATATGTTGGCAAAGAATGTTTGAACATTTGTCCACAAATGTACAAACACACACACACACACACACACACACACACACACACTGTCCTTTTTTCACTGTTCTCATTATCTTCTCCTTTTGGGATTGTTGAAGTATTTATTAGAAGAATATATTAGCAGCAAATGTTCTTTTTGAATGTTTTCAAACATTTATCCTTATAAAGGGACATTCTACAAATGGGGCACTAATGATTTAAATGTAATATAAACAGCACTGGAAAGTTATTTCCACATTTCACCTGACTTGATAAGACTACGTTTCCATGGCTCTGCATAGGGTGCAGAGATGCATTTTGCACTTTTAGTGCTTAAGAACTCTTATTTTCTCAGACTCTAAATTTTCAGTCAAAAATTATTCTCCTCAGACTTCAAAAGATAGTGCTTGAGGGACTTGAAGAAGGAGATAAATGATTTTAAAGGGAATTCTTTGTTGAAGTTTTCCTCCTAATGTTGACTGCTTTCTGTCTGTTTCCATAGGTGATTTTCTTTCCGCCCTAATTCTCTTTATCTTTTCTCTATTTATTGAGGGTATTAAAAAAAGCTCAGGTGAATTTCAGTTCAGTTTGACAATCTATGCTGCTTGAATGCTTACAAAATATAAGGCATTCTATCATCGTATTGTGTGTAAAGGTTGAGCATATGACTATAATATACAATAAGGCCCTTATTATTCAAAAGTTTGGGGAATTTTAATCTTGTTATTTTCAGCCGATGGTTTAGTGTTGCTTGGACGCTGTCCCCATTTTGAGGCCGATATGAGTTTTTTGTGTTACGCATGCTCATTCATATTTAAGGTGATCACTTGCATAAATGATGTGAGGCAAAGGGGAGCCTCACCTCGCTCCCTGGTGCACTGCCTCCTCATAATAGTCTTCGATAAACGGTTAAGGGGAGATGTGCTGCCAGTTGACTCAACATGCAGTGACTCATGCAGTGTTTACTCAGAGGGAGACCAAAAATAAACAGCAAAATGAAGCGAAAGATAAATTGCAACGCATAAAGAAATTAATTTGCTATTTATTGTTCATTAAGGTGATTTGGGGTAATTTGTTAGATTCTAATTACAGTATCCTATCCTTTGTTTAATGTGTTTGTGGTATTTGACATGTAGGTGCATTTAATACTTATCACATTTAAATATTAAAGTATCCTGAACAGTCTGACATATTTCTGCAAAGGAACACGTGTTGCTAATGAAACCTACATATGGAACTTTAACAAAGGAGATTTTAGTCACATAGTAAGATCAAAGGTTAGAAGTTGAAGTGTCCTATTTTTGGCTCAACAATGGCAGGAAAGTCAGGCTTGAAGTGAGACGAAGTTGGGCACAGCTACTCTTTGGTGTTTGCTCTTTGATCTGGTGGAGCTTTGATAGACCCCGGAGGCTGTACTTAGACTGTCCATGTCTAGTTGGGCTGCAGACTGACAGTTTTCACAGCACAGTTCCTGTGGCTCACGTGGCTTTGCTGGACATGGAAGTGGCACTCACTGAAAGCTTCCTTGACTTCCATCAGCTGGTATTATGTTGTTGGGTTTTTTCGGTTGGGTTGATTGTTCCAGTGCACTGTGTCCTGAATGGACAAGAGTCAGAAAACATACAACACAATGCACTTTTACACAACCAGAGAGAAAGATGGGAATGTGGTTCAGAAGGTAATACATTGTGAACATGGCAATTTTCTCCTCTGTTTCATTTATTCAGCAAAAGGAGGTGATTTTGCAGATTTAAAGCAGATTTTTATTACAGTTGTCTGGAATCTGTGAAATTGCAAAGGGAATGGAAGGAGACAGGCAAAATAATAATAATAGTAATAATAATAACAAACATCCATTATAAAGAGCCTTTCAAAACCAGAGTTACAAGGTGCGATGCAGAAAAAACATTAGAAAAACTGGATAAAACTACAAACAGAGTATAAAACAAGAAATAAAATGAAATAGATAAAAACAATGAATAACAACAGTAAAAACACATTACAGGATAAAATGCTTACTGATTCTGCATTTTTTATAATAAGGGGAAGGCGGTTCGAGATGGTGGGAGCCACAGCTGCAAAGGTCCCCTTTGGTTTTAAGCCTAGATTTTGGGACCGCCAGAAATATAAGTTGGAGCCAGCCTATGTATTGCTTTGTAGGAGATTAAAAGAATTCTACATTTGATGGGTAACCAGTGTAGATTGGCAAGTACTGGAGTGATGTGTGACCTACAACCAACCCTAACCCTACGATTTGTTGCTAAGGGACCAATGCACTGTTAAGTTGGAATAAGTTGTCTGACATCCAGTCTTTAATAGCTGTTAGGCAGTCTTGAAGGGTGGACAGTTGACTAAGGTCATCTGAATTTAAAGAGAAGTACAGCTGTGTATCGTCCGCATAGGTTATCCCTGTCCTGAAGCTCTGACTATACGGATATGCCGTAGCTGTGAGTTCTGAAATTTTCAGTCCGCACATACAGCCATTGTGATAAAGGTAAAGGAAAAAGAATAGCGCAAAAAATGTGGTTTGTGTTTCGTCAAGCAGAGTAGCATATTTCCCGGATGTGTGCTCTCTTGGCGATGATATAAATGATATCCAAACAAATGAGGAAAACAAATCATCGACACAGATTATGTTTGCTGGAGACTTTCGTGAGAGACAGAACAAGTTGTACAAGTAGAAAAATGTTCACTTTTGTTTTCCATTGTTTTTTCTACAGTTTACTCTCTGTCTCTTTACATGAATGAAGAGTTAGTGTGGACAAGTACACCTGTCTTTCCTCTTCTCCTTGACCACATCGGTTTCCCACAACTCAACCCTGCCACACACACACACACACACACACACACACACACACACACACACACACACACACACACACACACACACACACACACACACGACCACCACCACCACCTCCCCAAACCCCCGCCCCATCTAATTCAGCCCACTCAGACTCGTTGTTAAGAGGACATATTGGAAAACCATTAGCTCTCATTATGCTTTATAGCTACCCGTTCTCCCCACTCTGTCTTTTAATCACAATCCATCCCTGTGTGTGTACTGTATGTGTGTGGGTGTGTGCACGACCTTCTTTGTGTGGGTGCATGCATGTGTGTGCACTACGGCCCTGCTCGGCAGACAGTAATGAACCACTTTCACTGTAATGCATTTGGGACACTACAAATCCCCCCCTCCTCCCCTCCTTTTATGGGGGAGTCAATGGCACGGGCGCCACCTTTTATGGCAGCCCATCCGAGCTGCAGCAATGTTGTGCATTCGTGAACCATGTCAGCCAAATGGGATCGAATCCTGTGCAATACAAATAAAAAGAGATTGGAGTGAATAGGGTATGGATTCCCTTTTTATATGAACTCCTCGTAGAGGTAAAAAAAAACCTTATAGGAAACCTTATGAGTATCCATTTGCTCCTTGTAACTCCAAATAACCTGGCTCTCATAAAATGTTGAATATCCCGTTACTGCTCTGTATTGAATTGTGCTCCGGTTTGATCGTCCATGACAATGTGTGTGTGTATGTATGTGCGCATGTTTTTCTGGCATCGCAGAGAGGTGGCAATTTTGACCATATGCTGTGTGACGGACACACAAAAACACACACTCACACACACAGACACACAGAAACTCGTAATGAGTGGATTTAAATTCCGGTTGTTCTCTCCCGGGCCAAGGCAACTGTCATCATTGTGCAGCAAAACTCCCATAATCCATCTGTGGCATGACAGCATCCTAACAGCTCTACTTGCAGCAAGAAAAGCTATTCTTTATGTCTCTCCATTTCTCGATCTCTTCTCCCCCCCCCTTTTCACTCCTTCCTCTTCACATTTCCCCTCCGGACTGGTTTTTATTCTTCTTTCTTGTCTCTCTTCGCTTTTCCAATTACATTTTTTTCCCTCTTAATCTCCTTTTTCCCCAGAAACTTTTATCTGGGTTTGATTACAGTAGAGAAGCTCACTAGATAGAAAAAAATGAGTGATAGCTTGAAATTATTGTTGACCATGATGATGATGGTAATGAAGATATTCATAATTATAATTATGCTATCGATGATGATGATGATAATGATAGAGATTGGAATGACAATAATGCTATTAATGATGATGATTAAAAAGCATGAAGAGGATGATTACAATGAGGATTACGATGACAGCGACAATAGCGATGATAATGGTGTGTGCTGGCTTTCTGAGCAGTGTCCATGTTTTCACCTTGGCCCAGATGGAGAGAGACAGACGGAGGGGACGGACGCCAGCCGCAAGAGGGACACTCGCTCCTCAGCCGGGCACCACAAGAGTGAGGACACCAGCGACAGCAGGGAGGACGACGCTGCAGTGAGTCTTTCTTTCTTGTCTTCTTTCTGTCTCATCGCTCTGGACAGAATATTAATGCGATGTCACAACCCTAAACACACGCACCCCCCTCTGAGTAAGCAATAATGAGGTTTATTGCTCATATGTGTGTGGAGGAGCTCATCAGGGCTCTAACAATCAGTTTATGTTTTAATTATCATCAAAAACTTGGGCTCTGTTGTCTGTGCACCCACTGATTAGAACTGGAAAACAGATATGGGACGGTGGAACATAAACTAGATACAGGTTAAAGTGAATTTGAAATTGGCTAATGCAGGAGTGGAAGCATTTAGGAATCTGTGATCAGATTTTATTGTTTTGAAACTTTTCTTTTTTGCTCATTAAAACCCATCTACGTTTGAGGCTCGTGACCCCACCCACTGCACTGCATTTCAATAATGTTTCCAGCTCTCAGAGGCCACAGCTCAAAATATATAGTGAATACATCACGAAATCTAGCCTCCTCCTCAAACATTTATTTCTATGAGAGTTTTCATGCTACGAGATGTGAAATTTGACAGAGTGATATCCAACAGCAGAACATGAGACAGAGTTTGGACCACCGCCAGACATCGTTAGTACTTGGTACATGCAGCAGTAAACCACTGAGACAATCTGACACTGTGACTCTTATTTCCCCTGACACTGGGTGGATTTTAGGGTTAAGAACAATGATTTTGGACTTCGGATAATTTCCAATTACTGCAGGACCTGCAGAGCACATTAGCTCCAACTGTGTGTTGAAATGACAAGCTCCTGTTGCTGTCCAAATGAGGATTATTACCCACATTTCTCAAAAAAACACAGACTGATAAACATGAATGACGACAAACTGCTGTTATTACTTTGACAACCCAGTTCTCCAAATCTGTACCCAAGCTCAGTGTGGACATTTTTACAGTCTGATCTGCTAAAATGGATTACAAAGAGAAATATCTTGCTAATTTGTGCTTGGAAGGCATAATCGGCGGTTAAAGGCCCTTCTACAGCCAGGAAATTTTGTTGTTATACACAACTGCTTATTTTTGGTTGACAGATGTTTCCAAAATGAAATTGAAAACCTGAAACCAAGACTGCATCTCTCTGAGGGTTGAGGCCTTTATCTCTCTTTTCTTACTTAAATCGTATCTAGCTGTTTTCTGTCTGCTTTAGTAAAGCAAAAAGACTCTTTTAATACTCTCAAGATTCACCGCTCATCTTTTGGCCTTGAGGCAATTAATTTATTATTAGTCCCCCCTTCCTCAACCTCAGTCGACCAGGTTTCCACGCCAGCATTTGCCACTCATGTTGACAGGCTGTCTACCTTGCAATGGTATCTTGCCTCAGGCTCAGGTATCTATAAAACTACCGGAGGTGCTGAAGAATCAGGCTATGATACAAAGGCAGACAATCTGCAGTAATTAAATGTTCACCGCATACGTAGCTGTGTTGAATGTTTGATAGCGAAATCATTGTAGAATAAGGGATGTAGACAGCTACAGATTAATGAGCTGTATCAGATTTACTTATTGGTATTTTGATAATAAATAGTTTGCTAGGAAGGATCATTACACTGGGATATAAAGGAGGTCCCTGAGAATCTGCTGTATGTGGGATGAATTCAAATGAATTAGACAGGTAAGAACCAGTAACAGTACAGTCTATTCTAAGAAATCAGTGTTTATTCTGGTCAGTTTTTGTACTTCCATCAAGATACAACACATAATTAAGAACTGATTTTGATCAATATTGTATTTCTCTCTGTTAGACATATTTCACTGTATCATATTACAGTGGTGACACAGATTTTTACACCTGTATAGAGTAACTATATCATTGACAGGTCTGACAGGCAGCGTAACATCACTCTAATACAAACACATATCCAATTCAAAACATACAGTATGCACTTCGTCACACAAAATCTGTGGCTGTGGAAGTTTAAGCTCCACACGCGGTTAAGTTAAAACCCAAATTATTACGATAACGCTGTATGGCTGTCGACTAGCCATGGGTACCATCAGAGAAGAAGAAGACGATATATCTTATTCCATAAAATGCAGTCGTCTTCAAAATCGATTTAAGTGAAGGCTTTAGGAAATGTGCTTGAAGAGATAAGAGTCATGAAGGGAAGCCGGCAGGGGTTTTTCTGAACGGCCCTCCTCTAAACTCTAAACCTGCCTGATAACGTTAGGACTTCTCTTCTTCAGTCAAATGAAAAGCGGCTCTCAGGGTGAGTCAGTCTCGTGCGCTAAAGCTCAAATATTCGGCTGCACTGTAAGCATTCTGCTGAAGTCACTTAAATGTGTCAGAAAGTTTATAGCATGCTCTTTATGAATTTTAATAGCATCGCTTTGTCATTTGTTCCCTAAACGACGGGTGATAGATTTGGTTTGCTTCAAAATAATGATCACTTAGATGAACTGTGTTCATACTTGGATGGTAAACACGCCCTAAATCATCACAATTACAATATAGGAGATAGAATTGGCCTGCTGCAGGAGGTGCTTAGTTGGATTTACGATCAGTAGAGTATAAGACCAAGCTCCATTTATGGTTATCTATAACACTGCTTTATTTGTAACAAGCACTATGTTCTGTGTGTGTGTGTGTGTGTGTGTGTGTGTGTGTGTGTGTGTGTGTGTGCGTGTGTGTGTGTGTGCATGTCAACAAGACTCACCAGTAAGACTTTTCTGCTCAGCTCCGTAACAGCATTTCTCTTCATCTTTAATTTATGCCCATTTACCAGCTCTTTGTTCCATCAATGCTTTACCTCTGAGTGTTGGTGCGTCTATATGTGTGCATACACTGCACTGTGTTTCACATCACTCTCGACTTTGCTCATTCAGAACCAACATCTCGAGCAAATTCAAGGCAACATAATTGACACCCTCAGTCGATGTGACGCTGCTCCAGTTAGAACGCTCCTTCGCATAGAAAATGTCAGTGCCAAAGGTCAAAGCTGTAGTCCGTGTTTCCAGGCCTGATAGCCAAAGATAAGTGCAACACTAGATGTGTGTGTGTGTGTGTGTGTGTGTGTGTGTGTGTGTGTGTGTGTGTGTGTGTGTGTGTGTGTTTGTGTGTAAGAGAAAGAAAGAAAGAAAGAAAGAAAGAAAGAAAGAAAGAAAGACAGATATAGAAAGAAAGAGAGAGAGGGAGAGAAGGATGATTTACAGAGTTTAATGTGCTGTAATATGGGTCAGGGGGACAGAGGCCCTTCTTCCTTGTTTGCCTCCACCGTTAAGCTCCTCCAGTGTTTTGGGCTGCACTAATAGCTCACTAAAGCTGCCATTTCAGAAATTTCAGACAATGAAACCAAAATGGCATGGATAAAAACAAACAGAAAAGCCCCCAAGGTTGTGTGCACTCAAAATTAATAGACAGCCTAAAAGAAAATGGAATGACCTTATTGCAATTGAGCAGCACAAACACTCAGTCGGGGGGCCTCCAGCAGGGAGTTGCAAGGACTGTCACATAGATAGAGAAAGATATTGGTGCTTAAATTAATTTAATGAGGACTTTTATGAGACCTGCAACACATATTAAGTCTCTAAACGGCACTCTTTTCACTTGTTCATCTCTCCATTGCTCGCACTTTTTGCCTCCTGCTTCTTCTTTAAAAGTGCAAGTGATAGAAAGAGTAAAGTAGCATCCTTGGTGTGAGTGGAGGTAAATAAGACCTAGTGCTAGTTTCTGATGAAAGCCTTGTAAATGTGTCCTGCGCCTCTGTTGTTTGTTCTCAGATGGAGGGAGGAATCGGAAAACACAGGGAGTGTTAAAGCACATTAGAGGGAAGTAGAGAAAGACGGGAGAGGGTAAAGGAGAGGACAAAGAAAAGGAAGAACATGAATTGATAGAAGGATACAAGAGAAAATCAGATGTAAAGAGAGGGAAGAAAATGAAGAGCAGGGATCTTCTGTAGTGGAAGTAATTGCGTTCCTCTCTACCTCTGTGAAAGGCAGCAACAGCCTTTCTTTGCCTGCAAATCGCTAAAATTGCAGCTTAAATAGTTGACAGAGTGTGTCAGGGTTGGCAATTACAGAAACCAACATAGTGTGTTTTATTTTTTATTTTTGAAAGACGCAGAGTATCTCTTTGGCCACCTGCTTTTCAAGATGAAACCTGCAATAGATTTACACTGTCTGTGTGTGTAGCTGTGTGTTTATGTGTGTGCCATCTCCAGGGGAGCCTCCAGGTGGTTACCACTTTGTCTGACAGCCTGACACTAAGGTTATATAAAGCAAGGTGTGTTTTCGTCCTTGTGCCATTCGGTGCATACATATTACCTTAACGTATGTGGACGTGTGTCTGTGTGTGTGTGTGTTTGTATGTTTGTGTGTGTGTTGTTAATATGGATGAGACGTGGATTCTGTGCTCTGCACCCTGCTTCTCCTGTCAGTGGCAGATTGCTTTTGTGGGGCCGCCCCTTCATCTCACATACCTGATGAGAGGGAAGAATGATGAAGGCAAAAGAGGAGGGTTGGGGCTTCACAGTAGACAAAAAGGCTGGAGGACAAAAAGAGACAGAAGAGAAGAGCAGGTTTGATGAAACTGGGAATTATTAATGTTGATTGAAAGATAAATGAAGGAGGAAATGTGTCAAAATTTTGCTTGTCAGTCACTGGTTTTCGGTAGTTGGTTATTCAGACAGACACATAACTATAATGTCCACATCTGTTCCTGTCTTGTAAAAACTCTTAATGTTTTATTTTTTTGCTGCTCTGATGAATTACTGCAATGTCAAAATAAGATATATAACGCATATAAAAAGTCTAAGTGAGACCATACACATCCAGTTACATTCCATCTTAGTTATTTAGTCAATTAAATCATGTGTGTTGCTGCTCTACATTACTACTGTAATACATCACAACTCTCATGTCTGTAGGTCTTTATCGATTGCATCAATGGCTCCAATCAGAGTTGTTTCAAAGAAGAGTATTTCTCTTTTAACAATAACATGTGGCGTGTTGGCTGTAAGGGTTAAAAAGCAACACAGAAGT